AAAGGTCAGGGGGTTGGGTTTCTTCCCTGAGAATGGCATGGTGGCCTCTTGCCCACCACTTCTGGGGCTGGGCAGGCGGCGGCCAAGCCCGCCAGGAGGGCGCCTGTCGCACACACCGCCTCCGAGGGCTCCCCATCCCGCAGGACAGGTAGCTGCTCCAGATGCCAGCCGTGCATCAGAGGGAAAGGAAGGGAGCCCGCCCGCCCTGCCCTGCACCCAGACCCTGGCTCTGCTGACTGAGCACCCTGTGAAGGCCCCAGCTGCCCTGACCTCCTTCTGACGCTCATTGCAGCCACTGATTTTAACACAAACATTTGCCTTCTCCTCCTCCCCATCCCTTCCCTCCTTCCCATAGCCAGGGCCCATCCCAGGCAGCTCTGGAGTCTCCAGGCCAACCCCGGGCCTCAAGAAGAAGTGCCTTCGAAATGCCAGCCCTCTCTTTGTGACTCCACCTGGAGGCCTCCAAGAGCAGATCTTGGCCTCTGCCTGGCTGTCCTGGGCTGTCAGGCTGTGGGGGGCTGTACCAGGGCCGGCGCCCGGGGGCCCCGTGAGATTTCCGCATCTCACACCCCAGCTCCATCTGCCTCTACGGCCTGGGGGCAGGACTCCAACGGGACATTCTGGCTTCTCTCCGTTCCCACAAAGACTGTCAATTTCTCCAAGCCACCCCGCTTCTGCTCAATATCCTTCTGAAATCTAAATTTGGAAGCAAACCTGAATCGATCGCTTTTCCTCTTACAACAGAGCTGCCCTGGGCTTCACCGCACGGGGGTGGGGTGGGTGGATGAGGGAGGGGGTCACCAGCCAGAGCTTGGGGCTGGCATGGGGCAGGGCGGACAAGGAAACGCTGTCGTCACCCTGACTCCTCAGGAGGGCTCTGGGCTGGGGGAAACACCCAGAAATCTCGGCGCTGCCCTTCCCCGGCTGTGTCCTCCTGGCTAAGTCACACAGCATCTCTGCTTATCACCTCTTTCTCTACTCCAAAATGAGAGAAGCAAATGACGTCCTCAGAAGGGGCAGGAAGTGGACAAGTCCCGTGCAGAATCCCATGAGAATCCCCACAAGAAATCCATCCATCCCCAGGTCCGCGGTTCCTAATGCTCAGCCTGAACCACGAAGCCACCATTCCGTAAAATATTTCAACACAGCATTATTTTTCTCTCATGGAACCCTTGGAGAGTTTCCAAATTTTCTACAGTAAATATGAGTGAATTTTCTTCTCCCCAAAAAAGGAATATAAAACCATATTTCTGTTATAAGAAAGCACAGATTCAAAGAAAACATACTAAAATGATTTTTTTCCCTATGCCGGACAACGGCTTCCCTTCCAAGGTCCTCCGGAGGGACTGGAGCCCTTCAGTCAGGACAGGGAAAGACCAGGCCAGCCTCATGAGGGCGCAGCCAAGACGGTGGAGACGAGATGGCTTCCCCACACTGGGTCTCCCCAGGCAAATCTTTCTAGCTCCCTCCCCCTCGCCCTACCCAGTCCAACCCAGCCAGGACAGCCTGGAGACTATTTCCCTCCTAAAACTAGCTCCCATCCATGAACCAACCACATCCCGTACAAGGTGCTATTGGTTAAGGCTTGAAGGATGGAAGTGGTATTAAAAAGTCCAAAAAACGGTTCAAGCCCTTGAAATGCGAACCATCCAGTTCTGGCCTCAAAAGACAAACCCAGGGAAGCAGGAGAACATGCATGAACACGTATGACAAGAAAGTTCACGCACTCGGAGCAGGAGGAGCCCAGACACGTGGCCTGGCACAACCCCGCCCCCGACCCCACCCCCAACCCCACAGCAAGGACCTTGACCTGAACTTTAAAGGATGGGGGGATACAGAAAGGGAGCTGGGACAGCAAACCCAGATGACGTCCCCAAGGCTGAGGCTGACCTGTGGAGGCCACAGTCCGAAGGCAAATGCTGGGCCTTCCTTCGAACAGATGGGTCAGGCTGGGGCAGGCAGAAGGCACTGGCAAGGTGGGAACCTGGGACATTCTGGCTGCCGCTGGCTGGGGCCGGCCCTGACTAGCAGCCCCTAGGCTTGCCCAGGATTCCTCAGGAAAGAGCTGCTGGAAGCTGGGCCCTTGGGGAGCGGGACTTCCCACGCAGAGAGCTGTAACCACATGTGATCAGTGCAATGCCACCACGATAGACCAGGCCCAGGGTACGGGACACAGCATCCCGCCCAACACCCAGGGGCAGCAGTGGAGGACTTGCCGGAAGAATGGGAAAGCAGGGGCCAGACAGAGTCCGGAGGGGGAAAACCTAACTCACTCATCTCTGTGTGATTTCCCTGCATCTCCGAGTTCCCAGCCTGCAGTAAGAAAAACACAATAGGAGCAAGAGCCTGTAACTGTTTTTCCAAGGACAGGATTCGGGATCTGGGCACTGAGAATCTTAGCAAAGAGGCTGATTCTAAGGAAGCCTGGGGCCTCCTGGCCCCCAAGCCCGGGGGGGGGCTCTCAGGTCACCCAAGGAAACCTGTTCCCGGGGTGAGCAGCCCCTCGGGACAGCAGTGCTCACGGCCAGGGAGGGATAGAGCTCTCCAGGAGTGCCTCCTGCTGGAACTTCCTAAGGGTTCAAAGGAAGGTTTAAGAAATTGAGCAGCCTTGAACACGTCAGCTCCCACTCTGTACCAGGAGGGCTGGACCCCAGTCGCCTTGCTCCTATGGGATGCCTGATGCTCCTATGGAGCTCACAGGCCACCTTTAATTCCTGAGGAATAAAGAATGCCAAGGTCAAGGTTTCCTTCTCCTTCAGGAGCAAGGGATAGAGACAGGCTGCAGAGCAAGTGGACACTGGAATCCAGGTCCCAGGAGCCCTCGCCACCCTCGGCCCCCCCATCCTCAGCAGCAGGCAGCCCCAGCAGGCCTACCGCATCAACAGGTAGGATGTACAATGCCCAGGACGAGGACAGGCATGGCGTGCCGGCGGTCAGGGAGGACAGGAGGCTTCTCCCCATGTCCTGACTCCTCCCTGCCCTCTTCCTCTGGGCTTCCCTTCGCTCCAAATTATGCTCAGCAGCCAGGAAGACAGCACCCACCGAGTCCCAGCTGGAATTCCTGGCCCAGGAAAGGCTCTCAAGCCAGTCTTCCCACCAATCCCTCCTCAGAGGCTACAAGTTAAGAAAGCTCCGTCTTCCCACCGCACGGCGGCCAACCCAACCAGCCCCAAGGGCCGGACACGTCCCTCAGCCCCCAGGGGACTGCACACATGCAGAGAAGCCCAACACACACCCCCCCACCCGCCACGTGAAGCAGGCTCTCGGCTTCTCAGAAGTTCCCACCCCAACCAGTGGGCACTGACGGGTAAACAGGTTTTCCTCTTTGCTTGCTCCGTATAGGCAGTGGGCAGTGGTGCAGGCCCCAGCTAGCCCAGATGTAAAGTCTTGGGCCTCCACCCCAGAGCTACTGAATCAGAGACTCCAGGGCTGAGTTCCAGAAGCCTGTGACTTAGCGCACCCTCCATCCGACTCTGACACACGCCAGACTGAGGCAGGCCAATGCCGCGCCGCACTAAGAACCTCAATTCTGGAACAGACCATCCAAGTTCGATCCCCAGCCCCAGCTCCTGGCTAGTACTGGCAGTACTCAGCAGGCCGTATCGGCCCCTATCTCCTGGGGTTGCTAGGAAGACTAAAGGAGTCCCTGCATGTGTGTGCACGAGTAAATACCATTTAGGTTTTATTATTCCTCTTTAGGGCATGTGGGGTGTGGCTATACCAAATTTCGTTTCCTAACTGAAACCAATTCTAAAACGACTTGTGTCCCTGCGTGCAGCGTAACAGTGAGACCCAGGCTATCTTGGGTCCTATGGGTGGGTCTTTGGCAGGTATCTGAGTAGAATCAAAGGCCCACCCCATAAGCTTCTAATTTATCTAGATACCAACTGGGGACTGCAACTATCCAGGGCAGATACAAGTTGAAAGCACCCCCTGGACACTTGTGACATGACACCAAGAAGACCAAGGTGATATTTCAGATGGTGCTCAGAGTTCTGACCATATCCCACCCAGAAGGACCGGGCAGGGATCACTGGGGAGCAAGCGTTACACCAATTATTATTATCATGGTCTTCATGATTATTAGTGGTTCTGGAAAAAGCTTAGGAGGGTGGGCAGCAGCCTGGAATCTGCCTTGGATGCCAGCCCCATGAACCCCCCAGGCGCTGCCTGGACTCAGGTAGGTGACACTCACTCTGGCCTTGGGGACAGCAAGTGTCCAGTGACCTAACAGACCCCGGGCCAGATGTGGCCAGGGCACATCAAAAGTCTCCCCCCCTTCTCCAGAAGCACGAAGGAGAACGTTTCACACGGGGCAGATTCTGAGAACTGCCATTAATTGGATGGCCCGCCTCGCTTTGCTACACTCTGCAACGCTGCCTCCCCAGCCCACCAGGAGCTGCTAACAGTCGCCCTCAGGCTGCTCTCTGGTGAGAAACCAGGTGTGTTTTTAACAGCAGCTTCCACCCAGGCGGCAGGAAGGGAGGGGTCCTGGATATCAGCTGTCCAGCCGCCCCCCGGGGAGATGACACACTCCTCAACTCACGGCCCAAGCGCATTAGCTCCAGACCCGAGGCCCTGACTTTGCACACATTGAAAGCCCGCCAGTGTCCCTCTCTGTCTGACCCCACCGAACGCGAAGCCGCAGGAGCTCCTTCCTCCAAGTCGGCCGGCCAGCGTCCCCGGTCCCCTTCGGCCGCGCGACTAGTTTCTGCGCTCCGGCCGGAGTCTCCAGGTAACGTTCCCGCACGCGGGGCCGGGAGCCAGCTGTACTGACACGTTTCCACAATAAAAGCAAACTTACAGCTGGGCCACAGAAGAAGCGGGTCATTCTTTCCAGCAGCCCCGGCCTTCTGGCCCAGACAGGGCAGAAAGGGGAAGGAGGAGCCCGCGGGAGCCGGGAGGGACCGGCTCCCCCGCACCGCGCGCAGGGCCCTAGGGATTTAAGGGTGCCGGGCCCGCCCGCGAAGAGGCCCGTGGGCGCCGGCGCGTGTCCTTACCGTTCAGTTGCCGATAGACGATGTCCTCGAGCAGCGAGAGGCGCTTCAGGACCGCATCCTGGATGGGGCTGGCGCTGTGCGCGCTGAGGTTGGCCGCCTCGGCGCGCGGCCGAATCTCGTGGAAGGCGTCTCCGCTGCGCACCGAGATGGGCCGGCACTTGGCCAGGAAGAGCACGAAGCCGGCCACGGCGATCAGGTTCAAGCCCAGCAGCACTTTGACTCTTCTCAGTGAAGCCATCAAACACGCCCGCCGGCCCTCGCCCCGGACCCGCGCCCCCTCGGGCTCCGGCGAGGCGCGGGGCAGCCGGGGCCCGTGCGAGCCTCACACTCCGGGCGGCCGGCGGGGCCCCCAGAGGCTCCCGGCCCCGCAGCGCGGATGCTCCGGCGGCGGGGACGGCGGGGAGGACGGGGCGGTCAGGGGGACAGCGAAATCGCTCCCATGGAAGCGCTGGGCGTGCAGAAGTGCTCCCGGAGACGCCTGCTCAGTTCGCGGCGCTCGGCCCCTTTGGGCGCCTCCGCTGCTCCGCGAAGGGCCGGGGGCCGGGGGTGTCTCCGCGGCACCGGCAAGGGGCTCGCCGCTGGCCCTCGGGTCGCCGGGAGCGGGGCTGCCCGGGCGCCGCGGCGGGAGCTGCGCGCAGGTGTCGGGCTCGGGTTTGCCGCCCGCCCGCGGGGAGCGCGCCGCGCCTGGGGCAGCACGGCCACCACCCTGGTCCGCAGGCTGCCGTCGCGGCGCGCGGTCTTCGGCCCTGGACCCGCTACCCCGGGCGGGCGCCTTTGTTCCGCTCACCGCCCCGCTCCATCGCACCCGGCGGAGGGGAAGCCCGCGCCCGGCGCCCGCATCCTCGCGGCTCCGCAGTCACGCTCAAGTCCCAGTTACTCTCAAAGTGGGGGCAGCTCTAGGGGCGGGCCAAGGGGCAGAGCGCGACGTCCTCTCCGCCCCTCGCGCCGGGGACACCCCACCCCGCCAGCGAACTCACCAGCGCGCACAGCGCCGCGGGCGCCGGGACGCGTTCCAAGCCCCAGCCCCACGCCGGGAGCCTTCGGGGCCTGCGGGTCGCCCCGGCCTCGCTGCGAGCGGGCGCGTCGCGAGGCCGGCCGGAAGGAGTCGGACCTCAAAAGTCACGGCAGTTCCCGGCCCCTCCTGAAACGGCGCGGGGAGCGCGGCCGCAGGGACGCGCGCGGGCGCCCCCTCCGCTCGCCAGCACGGGCCGCGCCGCTCGTCCCGCGCCCGCGGAGCCGAACGCCGAGTCTCCTAATTGGCGGACGCAGGACACCGCCGCTGCGGCACCGAGAGCGCCCACGGCCCCGGCCCCGGCTTGCGGAGCCCGGGGGAGGGGGCACCGCGCAGGTGGCGGCGGAGGGCGGGGCGCGGCCCGAGGGGACCGGCTGCGGCGCCAGCTCCTCCCCCGCCGCCGCGGGCCAGCCTCTCCCCGCGAGCTGCCGGGCGCACGGCTCCCCGGTCGCCGGCTCGTGCGCGCGCACGCGGAAAGGGCGGGGGCGCCTGGAGAGTGGGCGCCGCGCGGGGGTGGGGGGGAGCGCTCAAGCCATGCCGGCTGCCGGCGGCGTCGGAGGGACCCCCGCGCCTCAGCGCCCGCGGGGCTGGCGGGTCCGCTCCATCCCGGGCGGCGATGAAGACATCCCTCTCCGTGCGCTCGCGGCTCCGCGCGGCGTGGCCGGGAATGGCTGGAGGGAAAACCTGGCCTGGAGACCCGGATCTGCGACTCTGGGAGCCGGGCCGCGCGCCCTGGGCTGGGTGGGCTCTGGCCGCGCGGAGATGCGGACCGTCCCCGCCGCGGCGGGCGCGTCCCCCTCGTTCCATCGCAAGACGCACGTTCGGGCGGCCGGATCTCCACCATCTCTTCCTCTTCCCAGAGCCCGGCGCTGGGAAGGCCGGAATCCAAAGACCCTTCTAGATCCACTCACTTCCCTGGGCCTAAGAAAGAACGCGGCCGCCCCCTGATAAAGAGCGGGCAGGAAGGCCAAGCGTTCTGGTGGTTTCCACCTCACCACCCCCGTCTCGCTGAAGTTTTTCTTTCTGCTCTTGGGGTTTGGGGTTTGGGGCTTTTGTTGCTGATTTATCATTTTAACTTGATATTTTTAACAGAGGAGTGCCTGAAAAAATAACAGTTTTTTAAAATTTTAGTCCCTTGGAACTCGGTGTCTGGGTTCAGTCGGGTCTTCCTGGTTTTTGGCTTTCTAGCACCTGCAAAAAGTGAATACGAAACAGGTAAATGAAAAAGCCACATAAAAAGCCCCAAGGGACCTTTTCCTGCCACAGGTGTTGGGCAAGAAAGGAGCCAAGGGACTAGAAACCTGAGTTACTGGGCATTGGTGACGTGACAGGCACCAGGGCAGGCAGGGTCCCCACGATGTCTCACCGGGAACCCAGATGGAAGCTAGTACAATCAGTGGAAACTTCTGCAAAAATAATTTTCCACGTTTACTCGGCTGCAAGACAGAAGGCAGGGAAGCTGAGACAAGGGGCTGTGACCCCCAGTAAGTGGCCATAAACCCAGGTGGGTCTGACGCCCCAGCACATGCCTATTTGGGAGTAGGAGACAGAGAGGGAACACCCACTGAGCCATGGAGATGTTTCTGCGCAAGATGCAACTTCAGACATTCTTTTTCTCCCTCCGAAGCAGGAGAGGTCCTTAGCCCAGATTAACTGATGATCTTACCAGCATCTTGCAGGGTTCTCTCCTCCCCTTCCACAAGCATCCTGGAAAGCTTCTGCATTCTAAACGGCATCTGACACACTGTCAGGCTCCCGTCTTGAGCCCTGTCATCACACAGAAGTGACCCACTCCAGCAATCCTTCAGGAAAATTTCCCACTCGCAAACCCAAACAAAAACATGTTCTCCAGCCACCAGCAACCCCTGTCTCCCTCACCCAGTTTCTAAGCCTGTCCATCCCCTCGTGAGTTCCTTCCCTACCCTTCCTGGTAACACTTTAGCTCTGATTACGTATTTATTTCAAACACTTCCCCAGCAGTGACCGCAGTTCACACACTCTCTATACGTATGCTCACACCGTGCCCAGCTCTGAATTACAATCTCACCGTCTTCATTCTTGCGCCCACGGATCCGAGCAACAGAGTGTGCTTAGGGAAAACACCATCACCCAAAGCTTGGAGACATTACCAGTTGGCGGTATCTAACTTGAACTGGATCCTTAATTCTTAGTTCCATGATCTAAGCCAGCTCCTCCCCCCAGAGGTGCCTGAGATACACTTCAGAAGTCCATAAACACCCCTCAGTCCAATACAAAACACTCACATGTGTGTCCTATGGGCTTTTTTCTGGGGAAAAGACCCCCAGCTTCCATCAGATTCTCAATGGTGGTCAGAGACTCCAAATACTTAAAACCCTGCCTGGGATACGTTGGATATGCAAAAACATAATCAACTCAATATTTATTGTATGCCAGCTGCCTAAAAAGTCAGTGGCTCCGAGGCACACCAGGTTGGTAGAATTCTCTGGTTGTTTGCATAGAGAAAAGAAAGAAGACTGATCGAAGGCCAGCCTCTTGTACAGATGAAGGTCAAACTGAATGAATAAAGAAACTGAACTGAATGGGTTCTGCTAAGAGTGTTCTGGAAGGAGCACTCTTAGCCATTTAAACCACATACACAGAGACGAAGGACCCATTTGCAGAGTCATCGATTGTCCCGGAACCAGAGGCTCCCAGAGGGGTGGGCGACCTCCCTCCATCAACGACTGCCATCCGTCTACACACCATTTGTCCCAATCCAGCTTGTAAAAAATCAACAAAACAACCCTTCCAAACCTCTGTGTCCTGCTCACCAGGAGCCACTGGTCCTAGTCCCCCTGTTACCAAGCAGCACATCCGTTCTTGACTTTTGGAGGGCTCTAAAAATCTTTCCTGATCATAAAAGATACTTCTAAAAAGAGGTTTATTGGCATGTTTGTTAAGGCAACTGAAAGGGGGGGCGATGGGTGTATTTCCGTCCACGGTTCACCAAAGATTTCTCCTCCACGTACATTTTTCACACATCAGCCATGATGTGAAGCTTCTGACTGGTCTGTGTCACCCTTCCTTGCCTGTTGGAAATCTCTCACATCTCAGCCTGGTCTGTCACAGAAGCTAGAAAGAGCTGGAGGTTCATCAGGAAGAGGAGGGGCTCATGTCTCTACAGGGGCTCTGCCCAGCTACTCACTCTTGCTGGAAGCGAGGGCTGGAGCCATCCTTCCCATAAAACCCTGAGCAACAGAAACCGGGGGGCTTATTTGATTTCTTTAATAAGATAGAATTGACATATAGCATCATATTAGTTTCAGGTGTGCAACACAATGATTTTTATCTTTGTGTAGGTCAGGAGACAATCAGCGCAGTAAGTCTGCCACCTGTCACCATACCGCGTTACAGACTTTTTTTTTTTTTAATGCGATGAGAACTTTTAAGGTCTTCTCTCGGCAACTTTCGAATATACCGTACGGTATTAACGACAGTCAACACGACGTATTTACTTTATAGCTGGCACCGTGCACCTTTGGACCCCCTTCACCTATCCCCCCACCTCTGGCAACCACCAGCCCATCTGTTTTCTGCATCTACGTGTTTAGGGTTTTGTTTTGTCTTGTTTTAGATTCCACATATAAGTGAGATCATACGCTCTTTGTCTTTCTCTGCCTGGCTTACTTCACGCTTTTTTTTTGTTGTTGTTGTTTTGTTTTGTTTTAAGAAAAAAGGAAGACAGGAGCCTGCCCTTCTCCCCCTTCAAGAATCCACCTTGAGGGCCTGTGTTGGGTGCCAGTCGTAGCTGGGGGGACCCTGAGCAACTTACCTCACTTCTCTGGGGCATTACCTGCTTCCCCAGCTACAAAACAGCGATAACAGCCTTTACGGTAAGCACTGTGGAAATACGCAAGGACCACCAGCTGAGGACAAGCAAAGGCTGTTGATTCAGTTTGCTGTTGCAAGAGAGTCCCCGGTGTTTGGCAGAGACTCAAAGGCAGGCAGAGGAGAGAGTCTGATAGTAAAAAAGTTGGGGGGGGGGCAGGGGAGGCTTCAGATAAGCACTGATTGAGGGCTGATGGCCTGGGAAGCTGGAGGCAGGCTCACTGGGAGTGGGGCATTCTACGTAATGGATGAAGGGAGCTTTTATTTGGCTTTCTTTGGTTGGTCCTAAGTTGGAAACAGGGATAACAATTAGGGAAGCTGGAAATTACTGAGCAGGTCCCCACCATTTGCAGCCAATTGTGTGGGCTTTCCAGGCTGGTGGCCACAGAGGTTGAGAGGATCAGAGCCCTATTGCCATGTCTGGCCGTGAACTTCAGCTCTCTCAACACTCAGTACGAATTGGTTATTATCAGCATTATTAAAATCACTAGAACCGAGAAAGGCTAGTCATGGGTAGAGACACACATTGAGGCCAGGTCCACCTGTGGGAGAGACACAGGCCGCCTTCCAACCCCAGAGCCTTCTCCTTTGTTCCAGTCTCATCAGCCAGGAGTGTGTGGGCTTCCAAGATGGGCACACAAGACAACCCACTGGGGGATGGGGAAAAATATTCAACCTTCCGTTTACGGTGATCCAAAATAAGAAAGAAATCAAAAGCTACTGACATTTCATCTATGCAGTGAGAGTCACACAGGCATATAATTTCTAAAGAATGGCACATATAACGCACATACACATCTCACATCTTTTCCTGGTAGGGACCACCATCAAAAAGCAATTCTTGCCTACTGGCCAACTTGCATGGAAACCCTGGGGTTACAAATGAAAATTCTTCCTTCCTATTAGAAGTTGGACTCCTCCTAAAACTCAAAGACCATTTGAAGGCCCACCTTAGCATCCCAGTCCTCTGGGAAGCCCTATCAGGAAACTCCAGATGCCTTTCTAGCTACAAATTAGCCACAGATTTATCTAACAATCTACAAAGTACCTGCTCAGTGTTTTGTTCCGTAATTGAATGTTTCTCAAGTACTTGTCATGAGCCATTGTGTCCCAGGCATTGTGGGGTTTATTGTCTAGGAGGAGAGGTAAGTCACAGATAAACTATAATACCAAAATCACTGAGTTGCACTTAGGAGAAACAATTCCACCAAACCGTGGGGAACAGGTGGCCTGGGCGTGTTTGTTCACAGAGACCCAGGGCTCAGAGGGCCCAGTGAAACTAACTGCTCTGGGGACGGCCCTTCCCTCTTTCCTGTCCCCAGACTCCTTCTTATTTTTGCTCAGGGACTCCACACCCTCCCAAGGACAGCTCTGTTGGGAATGCTGAGGCCGGGAAATGCTCTTCTCAAATATACATGAACCTCACTCTGGTGCTCAGTATGCCCAA